TGGTTTGGAGGTTTTAAGAAGTCCCAAGATCACAGATGTTCTGCTAAATTTTGATTCACGGATGTTATTTTAATTTTTATATTTATATCTTTTTTTAAAGATTTTATTTACTCATTTGACAGAGAGAGAGATCACAAGTAGGCAGGGAGGCAGGCGGAGAGAGAGAAGCAGGCTCCCCACTGAGCAGAGAGCCCGATGCGGGGCTCAATCCCAGGACCCTGAGATCATGACCTGAGCCCAAGGCAGAGGCTTGATCCACTGAGCCACCCAGGTGCCCCTGTATGTGTATCTTTAATTCATCTGTAGTAACTGTCTTTTTTTCATTGATTTTTGGTTTTACTTTTATCATTCTATTAAATTTGCGTATATACTTAGATCTATCTCTGAACTTACTATTTTTCTTCCTTTGGTCTCTTTTCTTCCTTTGGTCTCTTTGCATTATTTTTTAAAAAGATTTTATTTATTCATTTGACAGAGAGCACAAACGGGGGAGCAGCAGGCAGTGGGAGAGGGAGAAGCAGGCCCCCCACTGAGCAGAGAGCCTGATGTGAGCCTCAATCCCAGGATCATGACCTGAGCCAAAGGTAGATACTTAACTGATGAGCTACCCAGGTGCCCCTATACCCCACTATTTTTAAAAACATGACCTTAAAGGGGAGCTCTTGGATGGCTCAGTGAATTAAGCATCTGCCTTCAGCTCAGGTCATGATCTCAGGGTCCTGGGATCGAGTTCTGCTTTGGGAATCCCTGCTCAGTGGGGAGTCTGCTTCTCCCTCTCTCTCTGCCCCCTCCCTGCTTGTGTACACTCTTTCTCTCTCAAATAAATAAATAAAATTGTGTGTGTGTGTACACAGACACACACACACACATATATGACTTTATAGGATATCTTGATACCTGATAAGGCATATTCCCTTCTAACTTTCATTTTTTAAGATTGACTTAGCTATTGGATCTTTATTTGCTCATATATATTTTTATAATTCACAAATACTGATAGTTTGGTTTTTGTTTGTTTTGAGAGTGCACAAGTGGGGGGGCAGAGGGAGAGAGAATCTCAAACTGACTCCCCACTGAGTGTGGATCCCTTTGTCATCATCATGGGGCCCCATCTCACAACCTTGAGATCATGACCTGAGCTGAAATCAAGAGTCAGTTGCTTAACTGACTAAGCCACCCAGGCGCCCCCACATACTGATAGTTTTATCTCTTACCATCCAATTCTTACACCTCTTGATTCTTTCCAAATTCTTTATTCCATTTGCCAGCATCTCCTATACCAGTAACATTGTCAGAGGTATCCTTGTTTGATCCCAATTTTAAAGGGAGTACATACAGAGTTTCTGCATTAGGTATATTGTTCATTGTAGGTTTTGGTACATCACTTTTAGTAAATTAAGGGTGCTCATTCTATTTCCAATTTGTTAGGATTTGGGGTTTTTTAAATCATAAATAGGTATTAAACTTTGTTAACTGCTTTTTTTGGCTTTGAGATATTCCCTTGATTTCCCCCCTTTTATTAATGTGCTTAATTACACTGGTTGGTTTTCTGATACTCAGTCATCCTTAAATTTCTTTTACAAACTCTACTTGATCATAACATACTATTAACTCACTGTTAGATTTGATTAGCTTATATTATATTTAGAGTTTTATATCTATATTGATGTGAAATAGACCTATAATTTTTTCATATGATCTTTGATTTTAGAACAAACCACCTTAGGGAAAATTGTGTTTTTATTTTTGCTGATCTCTTTTCTCAAATTTCCTATAAGTAGGAAGCTTCTATACCCATACAATGAGATTATCAGCCTTCTTTTCCTAATGTCTGGACTCACTTGTATTACATAAGAATTAACTCTTCTGGGATGCCTGGGTGGCTCAGTCAGTTAAGCATCTGCCTTCTGCTCAGGTCATGATCCCAAAGTCCGGGATCGAGTCCCGCATTGGGCTCCTTGCTCATTGGGGAGCCTGCTTCCTCCTCTGCCTGCTGCTTGTGCACGCTCTCTCACACACAAGTAAATAAATACAATCTTAAAAAAAAAATGGGGCACCTGGGTGGCTCAGTGGGTTAAGCCGCTGCCTTCAGCTCCGGTCATGATCCCAGGGTCCTGGGATAGAGCCCCACATCGGGCTCTGCTCAGCAGGGAGCCTGCCTCCCCCCCTCTCTCTGCCTGCCTCTCTGCCTACTATGTGATCTCTGTGGTCAAATAAATAAATAAAATCTTTAAAAAAAAAAAAAGAATTAACTCTAATTTCAAAGTTTGGTAGAATTCGTCCATAAGACCATCTGGGGCCTGAGACTGGGAAGCAGAATGTCACCATTTACATTTTAAAATGTTGATTGGTCTGTTTTGCCAAAGGTGGGAATTCGTGTAGGGATGTAAAATCCAGGCCCATCTCCGTCCCTTCATCACAGGGCTTAGCTGGCCCTCTTGTCGTCATTCCTTTACTCCCTGTCCTCCATTTCTACCTTCCAGGCCCACACAGCAGATTCACCTACGAGAGCCCTAAGTGATGTCTGCCCCAACCCTACAGCAGGTTTTTGGAGCACTCTATCTATATCCTTTACCGAACCCTGCATCTACGTGTACATTTTCACCATTTCTCCTTAATATCCATGTGAGAGCTTTAGCCCTACCCAGAAGGTTATCAGTGTCTGGGGTGAGCCCCAATTAGCTTCATAGAGTACCTGCTGTTCAGGCTTTTCCAGAGATGATGAGCTTAGTTTTACTACTGCGCAGACCTTACCAAAATCTGAGAGAGAGCACCTGCCCTTATCACCTGGTTTAAAGTCAGATTCCTCCTGCCCCATTTCTCTGCCACATCACATGCAGCTTGCTGCCTTCACAGCCTGTAGTTGTCTTGTGTGTTTTTTCTGTCCCCTCCCACAGCGGCTGGGATAGACACTTAATAATGGCAGGGTGTGTCTGCCTTGTATGCCGCTATATCACGGGGTTGCTGGAGCAAAACGCCTACACAAAAGTGCTCAATAAATACTGAATGAATTAAAAACTCAGGAAACACATATTTCTGCAGGATTTTCTTACAATCATGGGTCCTTCCTATTCTCTGCATTCTGAATTTTCTTCCTTGGATCAAATCAAAGAGGGTTTCGCTTTCGATGCGGTGTTTTGGTGTCTCACCGACTTGTCTTCTCTGAACTGTGCTTTGGCGTTGTGCCAACAGCTCTCTTTGGCCAGTGATTACATACAACTGTAGCCACAGAAGAAACATCTTGTATTTAAAGTAGGGATGCCGTCAGGGCACCTGGGTGACTCAGGCAGTCAGGCAGCCGAGTCTTGATTTTGGATCTCAGGGTCGGGCTCTGAACTCAGTATAGAGTCTGCTTGAGATTCTCTCTCTCTCTCTCTCTCTCTTCCTCTGCCCCTCCCACCCCTCTCTCTCTAAAAATAATCTTTTAAAAAATAAAATATATTACATACTTCTCAAAAAATATACCTATCAGAAAATGTTTTCATAGGATAAAATGGTTTTAATGGGTTTTAATGGGTTCATTTTTATTTTTGGCCACTGAGTCTTAAACCTGAATATGTTTCCTCTACTTTGGCCTTAGGAAACTCAGAGCTAGAATTCCAACTGCCATGTGGAGCTACATGAGACTCGTTTCTGCAAGCTCTTTTTTTCTTCTGAATTTTTATTTCTTACCAACCCTAACTTTGCCCTGAATATATCAATTATTTATTTTATAGTAAGAGTTTCTCCTGTCTTGAACAGCCTAATATGTTCTAGGCAAATTGCGTATGTCATCCATTTAATCTTCATAAGCAGCAAGATTAGGACATTGTCTGTCCTTTACAGATGAGGTTAGTACATTTAAGTCACTTGTTCCTGGTCACACAGGTAGCAAGTGGCGAGCCCAGAAGCCGACTGCTCTGACGCCCAGGAACATGCTCCACCTGCTACTCAGGCAGTCTGCAAGGGTGGTCCGCTTATTAAGATACAGGTTCTGGGCACCATTCCCAACCTGCTAAATAAGAACCTCTTTGAGGGGCACCTGGGTGACTCAGTGGCTAGGTGTCTGTCTTCCACTCAGGTCATGATCTCGGCATCCTGGGATTGAGCTCCGAATCAGGCTCCTTGCTCTGTGGGGAGTCTGTTTCTCCCTCTCCCTCTGCCCCTGCTTGTGTTCCCTCTCTGTCTCAGTCTCTCTCACTGTCAAATAAATAAAATCTTAAAAAAAAAAAAAAGAGCCTTTGAGTTGTGGGAGGGGCCAGTGACCTACATTTCAACAGGTGTCCCAAGTGACTCTTATGTACCCAAAAGTTCAAGAATTCCTGTACGAACTATATAGCTATATCCCCTCTATTTGTTGAGATACTGCACATAGCTTTTCTGACGGTTTTTCCCTAACCAAACAGATATTACTTTCTGTAAAACATCGAGCCTCTTGTGCTGCTGACCTTGGTTACGTGTAGATACTCAAACGCGATTATTATTATTCATTCTGCCTGTCTCTTCTGTGGACTGGCCCTAATGAAAGCACAGAGGTACCGAGGGAGAGGTGGGCTGGCATCCCAGGCCACTATGCATAAGGTAACATGAGGCTCAGGACCTTGCTGGAGGGAGAGCTGTCTCCCCTCCTGAGCTTCCATAGGCCTTCAGACTCCTCAGGGCTCACCCTGCAACCAGGAGTTATGAGCCACAGATGGGGAAGGACTTCTGTTTGCTCTAATTTTTCCTAATATTTTAGATCAGACTGGCCTCTAGCCTTAATGCCATGGGCTGGTGCATCCAGAAGTTAAGACCCGTGTGAGGTCAGTGAGGTTTTAGTACTGTCCTGTGTAGGGAGAAGTTGTAATAGGGGTTTTTATGAACCCTATAACACATAGCCTACCAGTTTCCTCTCCTTCAAGACATTGGGTAAGAGCAGGATCTAGTCCCTGGGATGCTTAGAGTGGTCGGAGGCACAGGGCCCTCCCTCCAGAGCCCAGCCCCACTCTGCGGCCTGATCAGGGCCCGTCTCGTTGTTGCAGTGCAAGCCACGTGGATGGCCTACGACATGGTGGTGATGCGCACCAACCCCTCGCTGGCAGAGTCCATGCGCCGGCTAGAGGACGCCTTCCTCAACTGCAAGGAGGAGATGGAGAAGAACTGGCAAGAGCTGCTCAATGAGACCAAGCATAAACAGTAGGCCCCTTGCCCACCGCGGCCCCCAAGCTGCCCTCAGCCGACGAGCAGAAGCCCCTGAGGCGTGGAGCCCTCTCTGCTGGCAGAGGAGCAGCGACCAGAATAGATAGCTGTGTGAACCGTACTTGTTTCTCAATAAACTTATTTTTAAGAACGCCCTGAGGACCCCTTTCTGTCCTACCCAGCAGCATATCAAGCCTTGTGAACAAAAAATGAGAATTCTGAGATGCAGATGCTTTCAATGAATTAAACATACTTAGTGCCAGAAGCACCAAGCGTAGAATAAAAAGCCAAAATGGGGCCAGACAGGAACAAACCAGGTCAGAGGGTGGGACAGGCAGCTGTATTCAGGCAGATTTATTTACCTTCCTCTGGTGGATTCCAAAATAGGCAAAGGGGAACATCATTTATTCATTCTGGGCCCTGTGCTGGGCCCATATGTGACCTTAGGTTCTCACAACTCTCCTGAGCAATACGTTCATTATCCCTATTTCACCGATGAGAAGAATGAAATTAGATGTCTCTTCGAAGTCCACAGCAAATAAGAGAAGGAGCTCAGGGGAAACTGGGTCTCACGCAAGAATGGGGGTTGGTGGGAAGCGAGGTTGGCTTCTAGTGGGGCAGGGCAGTTGGGAGAGGCCCCACAGAGGGGCATGAGCCCAAGTGGTCCTGGCCAGGCCTGGGCTGGGCTTACAGGAGGGGGCTGTAGTCAGCAGGACCATTTCCTAGACAAGGGTTCTAGGCCTCTGGGGACCAGTCAGACGAAGGAAGGCTATAGAGCTGTTCCCAGGAAGAGCCAAGCCAGGCTCCCAGGGCTTGGGGCAAGGACATTTTCCTGAAGATTTTTCTGTTTCTTGTTTCCCCTTCCCACTCCCTTACAGACTCCTTGCCCAGCTTGGGGCCCTAGGGACAAAATACAGGAAGTGTGACTGTGCTTCTAGCCTCCTCCTTGCTGCGCTCAGTGGTCACTCAGCTACTCCGCAGGCCACATCCTGGTCCTTAAGTACGATGCCTCATCAGTCCCTGACTCTCAGAGTCCCAGTAGACCCACAGATGCTTTTCCAGACAGTGCAGCGCTGCAAGAGGGAGCCTGGTGCTGGAGCCCAGAGGAGAAGAACCATCCTGGAAGAGGGGCCATGTGAGCCCACTCACATGTGAGGGCAAGAGCCAAGTCATAAAGGCAGGAGACAACATGCTGTGGGGGGAGGTGGGAAAAGGCTTGGGACCCCCAGCAACCAGCTCACGGGTACAAGGAGCCTCAGCTCCCAGGGTGAGAAATCTCTTTTATGGGGTGGAGGTTATGGAAGGGGGAAATCATGAGTCTTATAATACAAAAGGAAAGTCCCAGAAACAATGGTAGAAAGTTCTGGATCCCAACCGTGCGGTCTGTGCCCCACGTGTGCCGGACTCCCAGCCCCAGGGTCTCCCTGGAGAGCAGCAGCTCAGAGGGCAGTCTGCAGTGGGTCCGGGGCGGGCAGAGTCAGGATGAATGGACAAAGCACCCCCTTACTCCCCAGAGGAAAGGGCTGCAGCTCTCTGGCCTGGAACTGGGCAGTCCCCTCGGAGACCGTAAGGGTGGCCGTGACCTGGTGGTTGAGGCAGTAAATGGTGTTGCCCAGCGTGGTGCAGTGGAGTGGGGCAGGGTCGGGCAGCGGCAAGGAGGCCGCCCGGCTCCAGGAGCCCGTCACCGTGTTGTAGCGCATCACGGCAGCGCCCACGCCACGCAGCAGGTCGAAGCGGTAGAGGAAGCCTCCCAGCGCCACCATGTCGCTGGAGCGCCGGTGGCTGGCACTGTAGGGGCACTCATCCCACGCGTCCCTCCCAGGGCTGTACCTCAGCAAGCGGTAGAAGAGGTGGCCCCCGGTGACGTAGATGTCCCCACGACAGGCCACAGCCTCATGGGCCACAGGGAAGGTTCCTGCGGGCAGGGGCGCCCGCAGGGTCCAGGTGTCCGTGCGCGGGTCATAGCGCTCCATGCTGTACAAGCACTCGCCACCGATGGCGTAAAGCAGCCCGTCCAGGGCCACCAGCTTGAGCTGGGCGCGGGCCTGCTGCATGGGCCGCACCTGGCTCCAGATGTTGGTCAGGGGGTTGTAGCAGAAGACCTCGTTGGAGCAGACGGCCTTGGCACCGGAGCCTCGAATGCCGCCCGCCAGGAACAGGTAGTTGTGCATGGTGCAGAGACCGCAGCCCCGAAGCGGGGCCTCCTCCGGCACCTGAGTCAGGGGCCGCCAGGTGTTTTCTCGAGGGTTGAACACATGCAGGTGCGGGCGGGGAGGCGGGGCCGCGGACTCCGCAGCAGGAGCCTCCTCCCCGCAAGGGCCGCTGGCGAGCCCCGAGCGGCTCACCTGGTATAGGCTGGGCAGCACAAGGACCCCCAGCAGCGCCTGGCCCCGGCCCGTCCGAAGGCTCAGGATGCGCTCGCGGTCCGCCCCGCTCAGCTGCCGGTAGAGGCTCGGGTCCCCCAGCACGTGCAGCAGGTTGTCGCTCATCAGGGCATAGGTCTCCCGCACCAGGCCGGGCTCCCCGTGCTGCTGGGCGAAGGCCAGGACGTCCAGGCAGTTGCCCAGGTCCAGCCGCGGTGGCAGAGCGGCCGCCCAAGCCGGCTCCCGGGCCAGGCCCCGGCCCCCCGGCCTCTGCAGAAGCCCCGTGAGCTTTCCGGCTTCTTCCCGCTCCTCCGGGAACGGCCCCCCGCTGCCCGCCGCGCCGGGCTGCTCCCCGCGAGCCTCTCCGGGGCGTCTCCGCTGCGCAGCCTGGCCGACCCCGCGCTCGGAGCTCTCGGCTCTTCCGCACGCGCTGCGTCTCCGCGGTTGCGGGACCGGCTGCGAGGCGCCCCTCCCAGGGGCGGAGGGCTCGGGGCCAGGCTGCTTCCGCTCGGGGGGCTGGCCCGGGGCCCGGGGCCTGGCAGCACCGGGCGGCACAGGGTCTTCTCGCTTCTCCTCGACGGCATCCCCTCTCCGACCTGAGGGAGGGTCTGGAGCGGGAGCCTCCTTGGTCTCCACGCGGCTCGGCGGCTGCTCACGTCCCGCCTCAGCCAGGCCCCCCGCGTCTGCCCCTGTGACCGGTCCGTCTGAGGAGCTCTCCCTGAGCTCCAGGCTGGGGGCGGCCCCTTCAGGCGGAGAACCAGACTCTCTGTTCTCAGAGGGGACACCAGTGCTGGGATCTCTAGGGCTCTCGGGAGCTGCCTTTGGGGCTCTCCCTTGGGGTCTGTCTTGCCTGGGGAAAGAGTGACTCCTAAGAACCATGGAAATAAGGTTTTCCCAGCTGGTTGGGATTTGTCCCTCCTGTTTGTCCTTGAGGGCCATGCTGTGCTCCTGTGTCATAAGCCTTGACCCACTACTGGGGGCAGGGGCTGGGGCTGGGGCTGGAACTGGGGCTGGGACTGGGGCTGGG